GCCCCCTTATTATCCTCATGGCCCTCCTCCGGACTTGTTCCAACAGCTCGATGTCCTTATGTTGAGGACACAAAGGCTGCACACAGTACTCCAAGTGGGATCTCACGAGAGCAGAGGGGCAGAATCACCTCCTTTGACCTGCTGGTCATGTTCCTTTTGATGCAGTCCAGTATAAGGCTGGCTTTTTGGGCTGTAAGGGCACAGTGCTGGCTCATGTTCAGTTTCTTATTGACCAACGCCCCCAAGTCCTTCTCCACAGGGCTGCTCTGAAACACTTTTCTGCGGGCTTCCCATGGGGTCACAGCTTCCTTTGGGCATTCACCTGTTCTGGCATGGGGTCCTCCATGGGCTGCAGGTGGGTATCTGTTCCACTGTGGCCTTCCATGGTAACAGCCTGCCTCACATGGTCTTCACCAAGGACTGGAGGGGGATCTCTGCTCTGGGGTGTGGAGCATCTCCTTCCTGACTTTCACCAACCTCGGTGTCTGAGGCTTGTTTCACCAATTCTCACTATTCTCTCTCAGCTGCTGTTGCTCTGCCCGGGTGTTTGTTTTTTCTCCACTTTCTTAAATATGTTATCCCAGAGGTGTTACCCCTGTCACTGATGGGTTTGGCCTTGGCCAGTGGCGGGTTCAGCTTGGAGCTGGCTGGCATTGGCTCTACCAGACCTAGGGGCAGCTTCTGGCAGCTTTTCACAGAAGCCACTCCGTTAGAAGCCCTGCTACCAAAACCCACAGAAATCCAGTAGTGTATTTTTTTCCATGCTTCTTTCCAACTATGGGTTTTGCCTTCAACTTTGAGAGGTACATTTCTGTGAAAAGGTGATTGGCTACAATGGAGGGTTAATTTTGAAAGAGGGAAACCTGCCCTCAGAACACCAAGTATTCATCTCCTGTATGTACATTGTGGCAAGCAACAAGCTAGGAGGGGTGCTGGGCTGTTCACAGCGGATGCACCAGCCTTCTCATAACCTGCACTTTTGATACATCAGAGATTAATTTCTCCCAACAGGCATATAGTTTGTCCATAATTGCATCAAACAAACGCCATTCAATAGTATTTCTAGATCTATTTCTTATGAAGTGCAATGTATAATTAGTGAAAATTGGTTTCTTCCTTCAGATAAGGATTTTTGTCAGTCATGAAAATGAACTGCATGAAAATACTGTATTGCATCATAGCCTCTAAGGCTCCAGAGATATTGGGCAAGTTACCTGTGGAACTTTTGTGCTTGGGATTAGTATGTATTTCATCACTGGGGATTATGCAATGTTTTAAACCCCGCATTTGGCCCTGTTCCTTTGATCTAGTGCCTTTTCATGCTCTGCTCTGTCAAAAGTCTTCTAAACCATTTGAAATTACAGAAGGGAATTTTCTCTCTTTGGTTCTTTTCTTCCTTTTTCATCAGCTGTATTGCTATACTGTTTTATTTCCAGCAGTCCAGACAAGAGCAGTAATATATAATAAAATAACATCTTTTGCAAGGATGAATAGAAATGGAAATTTCATTAATGTGCTAGTCAGAAACTGTCAGTGTGTTTCTTGTCTTACTGTAGTGGACAGGTAAAGATATTGTAGACAGCATCTGACATCAGGTTAGGTGAGGGATGTTTTTATGGTTTGTTTTGTTTCTTTTTTTTTAAGCTTTTGTTTTAAATATTAGACCTAAACCCATAAAGAAGTCATTATAAGCTGTAGCTTATCAGTCAAATAGTTAATGATTATAAAATTCCTTCTCTGTCTCTCTTCAGAAGAGTGTTTTAAGCCTTGCACTGTATGGCTTTTAGGATCTCACAGCAGAGCTGCATAGTTAGATAGATTACTATTGTGGGGCCACAGTTTCAAAGCATTTCAAACTGCTTTCCCAGTCATGTGCAGTTCATATGGTTTCTCATATGCAAGATTTGGAATGAAAAGAGGCATATTCTCATATGCAAGATTTGGAATAGAAAGAGGCATAGCTTTATTGTCACAACTCTACATGTACCTAGAAACGAGGTGGTCTGGTTCTGTACTGTTCTGCAATGGTGAGAGTGATGGGGCAGGCCCATCCCTCAGAAATAATGCCCATTTTTCCACTGGTACAGTGGTGTTTACCATGGCTGAACTATGAAGTCCCTTCAGAACTTCAGACTTTCATCAGGTATTTCTGTGAGTAAAAGCCTTCTGCTAAAAGAAAAGAAACATATTGCTTGGAGACAGCAGACCGATGATCATGGAAAGCAGGGACAGAGAGGCTATACCTCTGCAGCTGCTGTCCAAGAGCAGTCTGACTCCCCAGATCTCCTCTTTAACATCCCCAAACTGCTCAGAATTATTGGTTTCCCAGTATTGCCTTGGAAAATGCTCTGGTTTCCCTGATACATTTCTTCTCATTTCACAACTCTGAATGGCTCCATAGCACAGGAACCTAGGCTATCTTTACCTTATCTTTTATAGTACACACAGGAGTGGTTTGCCATGTTCCCTCTGGCCTCTGGAACAACAGGAAGGGAGGTTTAGGAGAGGCTGAAAACTTAATTGATCTGTGTTTTAGTGCTTTGTCTTACTGGGAGTGCAGCCACAGGGAGGGAGAGTGAGCAGGGTTTGTGAGGGGATCTGAGGAGGTCTGACAGGAGTGAGGGAAGTTGAGAAACTTACAGCAAAGGAAAGTCGGGAAGAAACACGTTCAGAAACTAAAAAGAGAAGAAAAGACAGACATGACAGAAACAGAAAAAAATGTGGGCTTGACTGTGGCTTGGGAAGGAACACAATTGTAAGATCATGCTCAGGGAAGGTCCAGGTCCAGCTGAGGCTTGAGTACTTCCAAGGGTATTCAAACCGGGCTTTCACATCCCCTTCTGGGGCAACCTGTCCCAGAAGTTCACCTACCTTGCTGTGAAGAGGGGTTTTCATTACGTCTGATGAGAATTTCCCTTTCCGCAACTGGTGTCTGCAGCTTCTTGTGCTTTGGCTGTGCCCCTCTGAGGAGGCCCTGGGCACAGGCCTCTGCACACAGCCTTGCAGGCCCCAGTGCAGGGAAGTAACGGTCTCCCTTGACCTTGTGGCCTCCTCCCTGACCCCTGGTCCACGTGCAGCCTCCTAATTGCATCAGTACCAGAACACCAAACACAATGTATTGGCCCAGCAATGACGATCCACAATGCCCATGAACAGTCTCTGAGGTGCTGGTGGCCACGCTGGACACCAATGTACCAGTCTTTCACCTGTCCTCTGGCCAGTCCATACAGCACTATTTGGTCATGCAGATGCTAAGGGAAACCAGGCTGAAAGTCTCACTGGGTCAGGGTGGACAACAGTCACCGTCCCCTCATCCACAGGGAACAATCACTTCCCTTGAACACATAAGTGTTAACCTTTTTTTGCCTTCTGTTTGCATTATGGACTTGTAAAGACTGATAAGATATGGTTATGAGTCATAGTAGGACCTAGCAGGCAACTTCAAAAACCTTTCTTGATTATTTTTTTTTTAAACTACTTTGTGCAAATAAACTGAAGGGACTTTGTACACAGGGTTCCTGAAGCTGAGGCCCTCCTCATGGCTTTTGTTTAAAATCTAAATTTTAACCTGATTTCCTAAGTCAAACCAACGAGATAAAAGATGTACCATGAGGAAGAGTTCTGCTGTAACACAGGACACCGGTCTGGCCTCTGGTTCCTACCAGAGGTGCAATGAAAATTGCCTGAGGACAGAAGTATGGGCTGAGCATTAACTGAGTGGTGTCATTGCTTTGGTATCCAAACTGCTTGTGCTCAATTAGGAATAGGTAGGGGTGTCAAAGCTCAAGTGAGAAGATTCTGTCTTCTGAATGGGGAAGAAATAGAGCTGTAGAGTGAGAAGGGAGACTTGAGATACAAGGCTGCCTACAACTAGATAACAGCATTGGTAATCACATGTTCAGCTGTATTTGTCTAGTAAATGGCATAAGAAACAGCAAAGTTTGGAATGGGTGTAATAGATCTGGGATCAATGAGGAAAATTAGTTAGGTGTGAGTTACGTGTGAGATGGCACAGGAAAAGAGATGCAGGGGTGGTGAAACGGTGGGTTCAAGGAAAAGAAAAACTGGGGAATAAGGTATAAAATTAAGGAGAGCAAGAAATGGAAGGACCTTCTGACAGGAAAAGTGTGGCTGCCTCCAGGCAGTGGTTAAGCCAGCCTGTGGATGCAATCCCTGTGGATAACCCACCAGAATCTTCACCAGCTCTATGGCTGAAAAACAGTACAAGAGGTGGGAGCAAGAACACATAAACTTGTAAGGAAGGATAGATTTGTACCTTAATACTCAATGCATGAGACAAGGCAGCATAATTGCAATTTAATAGCACTTACTATGATATTTTAATTTTTCTTTATAGTAATTTAATCAATAGATTTAACCACTATATTTGTGCTAACAGTAAACAACAGCATTGTAACTCAATATGATTTTGTAATTGTGAAGTAATATTCCTAATAACAGTGGTATTTTTATTAGCCAATTAAAATATTTTAGCTTTTTAAAAATGTGCTGCCTAATCAATAAGCATTATAATCATCCTAATCAGTTATGTCTCAAGTCTCCAAACTAACAAAGGAGACATGAACTTAAGGAGCAACAAGTGCCTTAGCAAGACAGGAGACAAACATATCTTTTCCTGGAAAACTTTTTAGCAATTTTAAAAATCATTGTTTGCCTAGTGTTTTTGATGCTCTTGATACTAATCCATGGATAAGAAGATGTGGTTACTGTCTTGACAATCTTAGAAAGTTCTCTGTCTAAAGTAGCTGGAGACTTTTCAAGTATCAACACTAGAGAGAAATGGGAGAGTGGAAGTAGAGGAATGCAGGCTGATAACGCAATGCCTAATTTTCAAATCTTCTTAAAGGCACTTACTTGATACAGATTGGATGGTGTGAACTCCTGCTTAAAAATAAGAAGTAGCAAAAAAATCCAAGGTTGTTACTGGACAGCCAGGATTTTTATTTATTTTTTTTTTTTTTTTAAAGAAAGTGGTGCTTGATGGGGAAAAGATAGAGAATTGCATATTTCAAACCTGATGCTTCTTGATACCTGTCAAACTAGAAATAGTTGTGATTCGTGTTTAATTACTCCTATCTTTACGGGAAGGAAAAAGCTATCAAGCTAAACTTCCGTTATTTCAAGCATTACCTTTCTAGTTAGCTATTTTGTAGCATTGCCTATGCTGACAGATAATCCTTAAAGCAGTCCAGAAATAGCTGCATATAGAGAGCGCTGATGTTTATGTACATTTATGAGATTTCGCTATGATCCATAAAGAAGTTACAAAACTTCAGGGCATGGAATCTTTGTTGCCTCTTTCTATGACCCTTGGCCAGTGCCAGTGGCCCTAAGGAGAAGCATCTCCAACATATGTGACACCATGCATGCTGCAAGACTGCTCATATGTACCCTAGCCATATGATCTTCCTTAAATTCTGGCTGTTATGTTGAAAGATTAGTGTCTTTGAATAATAGTCTATTCCAGAGTTCAGATTTTTTACATTTCTAGGAAGAAATAATGGGAATGCACCCTTCATGAAAGGTGCTGGTAGTCTGTGAAAAACAGGAGGTGTCTAGTTCAAAACTAATGACCGTATCCCTGAGCTCTACCTTAAGAAAAGCTACTTACAGCTCAGGTTACTCTATAATCACCTGAAACTGGCAGCACCTCTTGTGTATACCAGCTGACCAGGACATGGCCTGTAGCCATCACATTCATTTCACACAGGTCGCTAAACATCACTGGAAAGTACCAGCTCAAACAGTGTACTTGCTGTGATGACAGAGCCTCTCCCTGGGGGTTTCTCATGAACTGTGTGAGACAGTTTTAAGATTGTGTGTGTTTTAATTGAATGTTCAGGAGTCACAATTGTCAGGTACAGATTGGCATGGGAAAGTAACAAGGCACAGCTATTGCTTATAAAGCAACATTAATACATTCTGGACAGTATAGATTCGGTGGAAAATACAGACCCCGTTTCAAGTTGGCTTTAAGCTAATTCTGTTTCCAGACGAAATAGTTCAGATGTGTTACAAACAGGTAGAAAGCGATAGCAGTGAATATATGGGTACAGAAACCCATTTCCATGAGTACTCAATATTGGTCACATGTCCTCATAAATATTACAGTCTAGAGCTCAGAAAGCAGTAATATGGGAAGTCTGTCTTTACTGTATTGGCCAACCAGTAAATGTTAATGTAGGGCTTTGGTATGATTGCAGATACTTACCCAGCTCCTGTGAGCATGCCATACTGAAATGAAACTGGATGGGTTAGGCCCACCTCCCTCTCACCCCAACTTCGGTTTAATAAACTAGACCACAGCAGATCTGCAGTTTCTGTAGGTAACACTGAGAGTTACCTACATTTGACTTTCCTCATTTCACAACCCACACTCCTACCCCTAAAAACACAAATGCTTCACCCACAGAACCATTACCTCACAGCCTTATATTTCCTTTTCTTTTTGGCTGAATTTTCTAACCTACGTCAACAAAAAAAGAAAAAAAATACTCCCCAGCACACTGTTATCTCCAGTTATAACTTCCCCCCAGGAAGGGGCCAAATTAGGCATGATGGAAATTGACATGGGAAAACCCACTGATGACAGAGGAACCCGCCCGCAGGTGAATTCCCGTGGCTTCTGCCACCCCTTTATAAGCAGGTGGAGGTGCGGCAAGGCTGGCAAGACGAGCAGGCAGCAGCTGAGCACTCACTAGAGCATAGCTGCTGTGTGGAGTGGAAATGGCTGGCTTTAGCAGCAAGAGCTTGGTCCTGGTTTCCATGCTGGGGCTCCTGGCACTACTCCTGTGTGGCACCTCTGAAGGTAAGTGAGCTTGGGCATTCAGCCCCATGAAATGGTTCTGCGTGCCACCCTGCAGCACACCAGCCATGTCGGGGTGTGCATGCTCGCAGCTGGCAGCAATATGAGGGTGAGAAGGAAGGGATTTTTTTCAGCCAAATATGCTGCCTAATCCTCCTCTTCTGTCGATGAGGAGTTGGATAGTCAGCGAGCTGAGCAGTGAGTGCTCTAGGCAGCATGGTCCAAATGGGGTTTATTTTGCTTCATTTCAGCACAAAGCAACCAGGATTGCTGCCTGTCTTACACCAAGGTGCGTCTACCTCGGTGGGCCCTAAAGGGTTATACTGAACAGCTCTCCAGTGAAGTCTGCGATATCCATGCAATCATGTAAGTTACTTTTTAGTAGATCTGGGTTTTTTTTTTCTGACATGTATTAGTCTTAAGATGTCTGTTTGGGCAGACACAGTAATTTCAACAATATAAGCACAATTTTTCTTGCTTTTTCAAAAGGTTAAATTAACCGAATAAATTATATGTAATTCCTGTAAACAAACCCTCTATTTGATAAGGACTATTAACTCTTAGGACAGCCGTACAGTGTAAATAATAAATCTGACATTTTAGGATTCAGCTGTGCAAACAAAGACACACTTCATCTCTAGCCAACAGAGAGTATTCCCTTGCCAAAACCTCTTAACAGACACATAAATGACAAGAGTTTGCTTAATTCATGGAGATCTATTTTTTTTTTCCCACAAGGTTTTAGCCTTCCTAATAGTTGATAACAACTATTTTCCTTAGTCTCGCAAATTACTTTTGGCATCCAGAAAAGCTCTTTGTCCTAAGACTTCCAATAAATTGAGCACAACTTTATGATGCAAAAAATGACTGAAGCAGCTGTTACGTTTAGGTTTGTTTCTTTTTGTTCATATAGTGTTGGAGGGGTTGTAGAGCATCCCATATCTAACTGGCATTTACAAAAGCAGTTGCTATTATTTATTATATAGAGTAATTATGAGGCATGTTTTAGACCAAATGCATCTTCGCAGTATTTAACAGCAGGGGTGTCTAATGGCTTACTGATCTCTTTATCATTGTTTCTTTTCCAGTTTCCACACCTACAGTGGGTTGAACGCCTGTGTAAATCCTAAAGAGGGGTGGGTGAAGAAGCATCTTCTTTTCCTGAGGTAGGAATCTAAAAATCTAAATACTACCATCCTATGAAAACAGAGCATGTATGAAAGCCTGTTTCTTACATCTTCTGAATACCAGTTCTGATGGCAATGCAGACAATATTTGTCTTTCCATCTCTGGTCAAACATAGTTACTCTTTTTTAGAGTCTTCTTGGGGACAGTTATGTCACACGTCCCTTTTTCTGCCTGAGTTGTACTCTCAGATGGTGCTATACCTTGGAGACAGAAATCTATAACTGACCTGTGGCTGAGGTCATTATTTATGTGTGTTCTCTCATTCTTTTAACAGCCATAAGCTCAAGAAGATGTCAATGTGATACGGTTTCTAGCAGGGAAATTAAACAAGCATGGCTAAGGAACTCCTTCGCTCAACATCTTGTTTGAGATCGTCATCTTGTACACTGTTGTGTGCTTACCACTATCTCTGGCTTCCCTGGGACCATTTAACTTCTTGAATTGATTCATATTGCATCACTGTGTTGCTTGAATTAAGCATTTTGTTAAAGTTTCTATTTTTATGAATATGTGTATGTCACTAGTATGGTATGAGTACTATTTAGAAAGGGCTACCCTAAGTGTTTGTACAGAGTATGAATTTTAAGTTTATTGCATGTAATTTTTGTTTTGTTCAGCATGTGTAAAGTGGGTTATTTATTGTTTTTATTTTGTTACTTTTTTGGCACTGTCTTGTGCCAAAATATTTTCTTTTAACTGTAGTTAGCGTTATAGTACTTCTTGAACTATTGTTAAACAAAACTGCTTGTGAAAAAATGAAAATTGGAGTTGAAAAAATAAATGTTAAAATCTGCTTTCTGTGATATGTTTATTTTTTAATTGAAAATGGTAACTTCCCCTTGAAATGAATTCTTTTGCTTATGAGCCACCAGCTGAAACCATTACACAAGAGCATTCACACCTGTTAAAAGTTTTCTATTGCTTCTGTAGCTCATCCTTCCTCTTGTCAGACATGGCTCTGTTGCCATCAAACCCCAGATGCTTTACCCAGAGACCTATGACTCATGGGACTTTTTTAGTTCCTCTTATTCTGATGATTGAATATTTTTTTGTAACCTGCCTTATTGGAGGAAAAAGAAAATATGGAAAGTTGGTTTCTATGCTCATTAACATGGATCAATAAGGTTGTTATATTATTGGTAGGAAATTTAATGTAAAACTAACATGTCTAGCCATACATTCCTGAGGATACAAATAGGTATTAAAAGCAAGTGCTGCATTACCAAAATCATCATATCAGAGGCATGTTTTTTGTAAGTAACCTTCAGTGGCTTATTAAAAATTCTGACAGCTCTGTTCCAGTTTCCAGGAACACCTGCTAACTTTGGTGGGGCTGTTCTGCATTTGTGTAGGTAAGTTTCTTTTTCATCTGTATCTTTGGCCCTTAACTCCTAATTCAGCATGTGGAATTCTGTTGAATAATGTGAGATGCAATATTAGATGGTCATATGGGGTCTATTCCCCTTTCATTTATATAATTAAAAAAAAAAACTTTTTTCTTTTTTTTTTAAATTGCAAATTGCCAACAAGGCTTTTTCCTACTGCTTGGATATCATTTGAATAATGGATGTGAGAGCTTTCCCTTCAAAGTCTCAGCAGAACTTCATGCTCCAGCTCCAAAGCCACCTGTTCTCACTGCATTGAGAGCAGTCATTCCTGTGTCTGCTGTAGTATTATTTTTAAATCCTATTTGTGCAATTCTTTGTTTGTTTTGTGTTATTTATTTTCTTCTTTTTTAATTCCTTTTTTAATTTTTTTCCTAAAGCAATCTCACGGCATTCCCAGCCAGGACATTGCAGCATTTCATTAGCTTGGGATATTTCACAGACATTTTTTTTATATGGAATCATAATTAGATTTACTCATTTCTTAATTTTTTTTTTTTTTTCTCTCTCACTCCAGCACAAAGCAACAAAATAACTTAGCATTGTATAGAAAGTGACTTTTTTTGTAAGGAATAGCAAACCTTCTGCTGATTTAATATTGTTGTTAAAACATAAACATGCTACATCTCATCTGCTGGGCGAGTACTAACAAATTATTTGTTGAATTACTGTTCACTTAATGGTACCTTCAATCAGTTGAAGACTATTTTTTCGTTCCTCATCTCTTGTTTTTTCCATCTTCCACACAAAAGTGGGTTGTAAAGCCATGCACAAATCAAAGAGAAAAATGGATGAAGGGCCTTCTTTGTTTGCAGTATGTATATTTTCAAATATATCTGAAAACCAAGCATTACTGGGTGTGCTTAGTGACAATGACACTTTTAGCTCTGTCATAGGGGTGTTGATAATTGGTCAGTTATTTTCAGTTATCAGTACCCATGAGCCCACATGTAACTAAACTGCGCTTCTGATGAACTGGAGTGCATTGTTCAGCTGTAATTTAGTTGAGAAATGAATCGGGGAATTCATGCACCAAGAAGGGCTTTAGGCTTATGACACTGTCACTTGATTTTAAGGGCATACACCCAGCTGGACAAACATTGGAACAATACAGACGATCAATTGTAACAAGCCTTCTGTATGCTGAGCTCGGCTGTTACACCCTGACAGTCTTACTCAAAATAGCAGGCTACAGGCAACATCCTTTGCCAAAATATGAATCATAAAGGAAGTTTTTAGTCTTCAGACTAAAACTAGTGCATTGTCTATGCTAAGTTTACTAAATAATTTTAGTGGTATGATGGTACATAAATGGAAAACTATGATCTGTTTTCCTATGATCTTGTAATAACTCTGTAATGGGAAATGTCAGCCTTAACTGTCCAGTGTTGCAGCCCTAACTCTGTTAAAAGTTTTTAAATTGCTGTGTTTGTTCCTTCTGCATTATCAAGTACAGTTAGCTTTCACTCAAAGCTCACCAAGACTTGCAGGCACTTGAACATGTAGATACGATATACAAGAAAAATGGTACTGTGGCTGTTATTATGTATTAAGCATAGTGTACCGCTCATTTAGCTACTAACATTAAAAAAAAAAAACCCAAACACTTGTTTAATAGTCTTTTAGCTTCTTTGAATTTATATCATTATTCAGATTATGTGATCCAAAATACATATTTAATTTAAAAACGTCATTTGAAATTTAGAATATTCTATGCTTAAAAAGGAAATATGTCACGGGAAAAGTAGAGACTAAATACTATTGTTAATGGCTATTATTAAATTTTAAACAGGATTTATATAGTTTTGCTTATATGACTTCAGTTATACCTCCAAAAGCTTTTCTATCTACGTCTGCGTTCCTGAAATTTTGCTACTTCATAAACTTAAATTGAAAACTCTTCTTCTCCCCTTCTTTCCCCTACCTTGTATCAAGGAGACAATTGATAGTCTGGGTTGAGATCTCTTGAAAAAAAACAATATGCTCTATATAGTGTTCTGTATATAGAATTTTGGTGGATACACTTACAATGCATGTCCTATAGTAGAGGGATTTCACCTACCGTCATGACCAAAGAGCTGCACATACAAAAGTGAGGAAAAGAGGGTTTGCACCCTAATCTCTTTGTTAAAACTGTTGTATGACCTTTGGATCCAGTTCATTTCAGTGTACTAGGTTTTCACAATACTCCATCTCCTCATCTGTCTTGATTTACCTAAAAAATCTAAGCTTCACGGTGATTCTTTTTTCTAGCCCTCAAAATTACAGAGAAAGCCTTGGAAAACAAAAGACGAGGAAGCAAAGCTAGTTGCATGTGTTTTTGAGTAGCAGCTGTAGTGAAATTTAAAGGGAAGGTTTCTTGCAGTGAACACTGCTTTCTGTTATCAGAAATTCTAATCTTGTGCCACTTTTTCACTGAAAAGATTGCCGTTCTAGCTGAATCTGAAGATGTGTCTGTTCTTTATCTGGTTTATATTTTTTTTTCCTTCTTCACTTCTTTCTTCTGGAAATGGATGTAATGTCCCACGGGCTTCAGAGCTGATTTAGCTTGCTCAGGGGCTAACATTAACTGTTTCCTGTGCTATGGTGACTGAGAAGACACACATAAATAGTTTTATTAAGATATCAGATATGCTTTTCTGTTAGTTTGGTGCTTCTCAGCCTGCGAAGAATTTCTCTCTTGGTAAGACATGCTTACAGTAAGAGTGAGACAAATCAGCTTCTAGAAACAGGAACAGTGTAGCCCAGCACTTGGGCTCCCCGGTGGGAAAGCCTGAATGGTAGGATCAATTTAATATCTAAATAGCTAAAGAATAAAGTGAATTGGGAAACAAGAAACACTGAGATAGTGAAACTGGGGGCACCACAATTAGTGAAGACATGTATTAAAGTGTATGAAACAGATCCTAGAGTAGTTTTGATTTCTGAGTCAAACTTCAGTTACAATTTGCACCACAAATATACCTATCTTCTCTTCTGGGCATGTGCTCATAAGCCAAAGCAAAACATTTATGTCTATACAAAAATATTATGTGTGGGATGGTCAAATACCACAAAATTGGTCAAGTACAACAAAATTGCATTAGACTCTTCCTATATCTTCTGGGTGATAAAATTTAATCAAAACACAGATTTTTCTTGAAGGAATATGGCTTGCAAGGGGATAAACTCTGTACCAAGAGTTCATGTAACAAATACTGAGGTAACAGCAGATAGCATCATTAGGTATCACGGGCAAAGAAATATTACAAATCTGTAAGAAGCAGATAAGACCAGTCCAGCCATCTGATTAGACTTGTGTCAGTGGAGATGGGTTAAAGTAAGTGGTCCAATTTGCAGTGAAATTGTCAATTACAGTGTCAAGATTAAACTGGTAGTTTAGTATGCTTGCCACATCAGTCATCAGGCACAAAGCTAGTGAGAACACTACAAACTTACAAAGTAGGTAAATGGCAATTTGAGAATGATAGATTTAATGTGACAGATAAATGAGAGCTGTAGAGTGGTCAGTGTGCTTACTTCAACTGTTCACTCAGATGTGTCCATCTCTTCATATATGAATAACCGTTGTTATATAGCTGTACTTAAGGAATACCAATCAAAATGTTCATTTAAAAGTTTGTCATGCAGATCTGAAAAATAATTATATCTTAGCTATATAATTTATTACTTGATTTCTTCTTTCAAATGTATGTTCACTAGAGCTGGTTTAAAAATATGTTTATGTGTTCCAGTGGGCATCTGAATGTTTCGTATTATAATGACTAGGAATAAATGGTCAAAATGTCTTGCAGAGACAAGCCAAATCTAAAAGATATCTGAGATACTGCAAATCTAAGGGTTGCTCACTCTATAGCACGCTCCAAATTGGTACAAAAGTAAGCATAAATGTTTTATGAATTTGAAAGTGGGTAGTACTGTTTTAACGCTAATTAGAATGAATGGATGATATGCATATATATTGCACATCCATACGAAGTACTTCAAAATGATGGTAAAGAAACTTAGAAAACAAGAAACAGAGAATGCAATAGTGGAGGCATATAGATATATAGGAAGCATGATGTTTATGTGAAATTCTTAATGAATTACTGGCATAATAAAAATGAAATATAGAAATTCAAATGAGTTATTTCAACTTTTTTATTGAAAAACAACAGTGAGATAAAAATAATTGCACTTTAACAAAGATGTGTTTTTTTTTTAAAAGTAGTTATTTATATTTTGCAATTCTATTGCAGCCTTACTAGAAATTCTGTTATTTTTTAGGAGCTTTTTGCTTCCTCCCAACTCAAAATGGCTTGACTCAGTTGCATGTTAGATATGTATAGAAGTGCTTATTTATTTTCCTCACTAGGTGCATCCAAATAACTCACTTTCATCTTGAAGGTCAGACAATCTGACTGCA